CCCCTGCACAAGAGGGCGGCACAGGCCCCCAAGCACAGGTGTAGTACTTGAGCCAAAATGGCTTCTCTCTCTCTCTCTCTCTCTCTCTCTCTCTCTCCCTCTCCCAGGCATTTGAAATTTTAAGCTCCCGGGACCAGTGTGGAAGAAAACCCACTGCCACTTCTGCGTGATTTGACAGCCAAGCTTCCACCCCCTCCTCCTCTGCTCCCACGTTCTCCATGTGCACCTTCGGCTCAGGAGCGTGTAAAGGTTGAGTGTCTGATGGCTACACAGGAACCAGCTCCAGTTCATCCGCATTGGAACAGGCTTTGCAAACTGCGTCGCACAAGCACGCAAAAGGTTGTGCTTCAGACTTACACATGCTCTTTCTCTCCAGATCAGTCATGCTGGCCCAGGGACGATACCAGCAGCGCCAAACTTGCTCTGCCGCCAGCCTTCTCTAGCTGGCTGGGTCTCTGTGATATATTGCACTGTCTGGCCCACAACTGCTCATGCTGCCCTCCTGCTGGCGCCACTGGCAACTCTCGAATAATCCTGATCCCCATCCTGCGAGTATGGCGGCATAACTTCGAAGCCCGTTTGGGAAGAGCATCGGGCACCCCGGTCTCCGAGCTTCCAAGGAACGGAGGTACTGAGTCCAAAGGTCTGCAGGGTCATGACCGGACCTTGTGCGAGCGATGAAGCCGCCGCCACGTGTTACGACTCGCTGACACAGCTTGGGGCGCGGGAGCCTTCGCATCTTGGCTCCTCCTTTGTCCCTGGGTTTACAACCGAAATGCCCAAGCCAAATCGAAACAAATGAGCCAAGGGGCACAAGCGCGGGCAAGTAGTCGTTGCCCCTGAAGAGCATCACTAGCAGGAAGTCAAGACGCAGCTGCTGGAGATCCTGGCAGTTGGACACCAACTGCCAACTCGGGGATGTTCAAGATCAAGGTTGCGTGCGGCACCTACGGCAAGAATACGAATGATCCGTCTAGTAGACGACGAATGCCGCACGCAATAACTTGGAACCACCATGACATGTCTGAGCTGGATCGGTGTGGAGATGTAAGGCTTCGCCTTGGGAGTCGGCGCTGTCGGTGGCAAAGACTCCTGCTTGGCGAAGCTGTGGAGCTGCCTGTCAGTCATGCAGCTGCCTTCTTGCTGCCAGTATCAGGCAACACCGCCACGTTCTACCATCACCATCACCATCATCAACAGCAACATCATCATCAGCATCCCGTGCTCATGGCCATAATTATTGTGCTCTGTTTTCACAAAGCCATCGCTCTGTTTGAGACTCCTCATAGCAAAGCCAGAAGATATCAGCACGGAGCGGCAGAACGTCAATAGCTACGATGAAAACGATGGAGCATCTCGCCTTCACGAAAAACGGTTATGAGTCATTGCCCTCGCCCGAAGGCAGGCCTTCCCATGGCTTGCACAAGCCGATCACCGCTGCAAACGCGCCTGATGCAGCAAAGGGTTGACCCTTGGCCCTTCAGCTGTCGTTGCACCACGGACTTCCGGTGGCATGTCAGCGGAGTGGAAGGAACAGCAACAACGGGCAGCAGCAGCAGCAGCAGCAGCAGCAGGAAGTGGCGGTGGCGGCGGTTGAATAGTAGCAGTTGTTGTCGGAGTGGCGTTAGCAGGAGCGCCAGTTGGAGTAAGTGAACTTAGGTAGGGTAGGGGGTATAGCAATAGAAACGCTGCCATATCTTCGGAGCAGTAATAGACTAATCGTCGCGATTTGCTCCAGGACTGATGCACTGATGCAGCTGGAGTCGGATTGGAAGACGATCCGGACGAGTCGTCTGGGTGGCGAGGCGGGGGCGGCGGACGACTCCAGATTTACTGGCTGAGGCTCATCTGAGCACGGCTTACTGCTCCCCTGGAACTGGTTCGCTTGTACAACCGAGTCTTGTAATCCAAATACCCGGAAAGACCCGGCTTCTTATTTCTTGTGCCAGGCAACAGGAGAGACTTGCGCTGTGTCAGTCCGTCCTGCGCACGAGGGCTTCAAGGCGAACTCTCGCGATGTCCATCCAGGGTGACAGAGCTCAACCCTTATTGAACGAGGTCTCTCTGAAGTGCCTCCAACCCTAAACCCTAAACCCTATTCTAATCATTACAAGGCCCTATATTACCTTTATTGTAATTACAAGGTAGAATATCTTTTCCTGAGCCAGTCGCTTGCATCCGCCGGAGGTATGGCCGCGCTCCTCCCGTCGCGTCACGGCCACTCGCTTTGCGCCATGCAAAGCAACGGGAAGCAAGAGCCTGGGTTCGGTGAGCTGAGGTGTTTGTGGATTTCGCTCTGATGAGGGTCCGTAATACTTCCTTCGGGTCAGGATTATAGGAAAAATGACCATCGCCGGTGCAGCAGCAAGAGCAAGAGCAGGAGCAGGAAGAGGAGCAGCAGCAGGAGCAAGAGCAGCAACAGCAACAACAACAACAACACCAGCAGCAGCAGCAGCAGCAGCAGCAGCTGCTGCTGGCAGCAGCAGCAACAGCGACAGAATCGCGACCGCAACAGCGACCGCAAGGGCAACTACTCCTGCTGCTGCTGCTCTACCCGCTGCGGTGCTGGTTGGCCTAGTGTCTACCAAATTCCTTGGCTTGGCTGCGCTTGTGGTTCTTTTGTTCTTCTGATGACAAAGGTGATGATGAGCTGAGTTTTCCTCTTGCAGCCCTTCTATCAGTCACATGTTTCCCCCAGTTCACCATCTTTCTCGTGACAATGCCGTCCGCAGCAAAGCGTCAGATCCGAGTCGGTGCCGACAATGATGTGGTACTCCTTATGTTGCTTCCCACACTCTCCGTTGCAGAGCACCCAAGCGTTTTTCACATGACCCTTTATAGCTGGGTTTCCCCAATATGCCACTGGTCGGTACTGCTTGACTGCTACAACAGTTCCGATTGCTTCAATCATTTCAAGGCGCTTTCGGCCCAGCTCGGATGGAGCACAACAACAGCAAGTTCTTGATGTAGTCAGCGAGTACAGTGGAGTTTGTGCGGTACTGAATGGTGTCTTCGTGTTTCTCCGCAGTTTTCGCAAAAAATCGTTCATGGGGCACTCAATGAGGCAAATCAATGCAAAGCCGACCTACCGATAGCACCCACATGCAACCCAAACATGCAGCCGACATGCCTGCCGGCGCATTAGGAACTCACAGTACTTCGTACCGAGTGGGTCAAGTAATGACAAGTAGCATCGCCTCCAAGTGCTTGTGCTGCGCATTCGTTCCTGCTGCTCGAGAGCTTGCAGCACAAGACACGTTGACCCTAGGCAGAAATCAATCCAACAAAGCATCAACACTGCAATGAACAAACATCACACAAACTTCAATTTCAGGCCTCAGCATTTGGCGTGAAATCTTATGCTCTCCTTCCCCGGCTTCCTCCGGACCACTCACCTGAATAGCAAGAAGAATGGCTGAGCCCGATCGATATGGGCATGCCATCGCATGCTGTCGTCGTGTAATGCATCATTCTCAAGTCGCGGTGCATCGCAGCATCCCTGCGCCGTGTGCGCAGCTTCTACACGATCAGGATTCCTTCCGAGGCACCGCAATCCGAAGATCTTTGGGGAACCGCCCATCGGCCTTGCAGGATTCAAAGAGGGGCAAAGTGGCTTCAAAGACTGTGCTGGGACAGTTTGGGTGAGGGGGGGGGTATGACAGTCTGATATGAAAACCTTGGGCTCCAGCCGAAAGCTTCATGAAGCACTTCCGCATGACTTACCCCGTTGCCACATGGAAGGAGTGCTAGTGCTACTTGTGGCAAAAAGACCATATCCTGCCTTGCATCAACACTGCTCTAGAGGCATGTAAACGCATTCACTACCAAACTGGGGCCTAGGTCCTTGACTTTGTCTGTCCGCCCCGCGCCCCCGCCGGGCCCCTGCCCCGTCGCCCTTCCGTTATTCCTGCCGTGGATGTACGTGTCAAGCTTCAGGTTTTGTAGTTTAGGGTGTAGGGTGTAGGGGAGGGTCGTCCCCCACCCTTCCGCAAGCCTGCAGCTGCGTCAAATGCTCTCGCAGGGCAATAGTCAGACGGTCCATGACGGGCACGCCAGGCGTGAGCATGTTCACCGTGATGCCTCGCAGTGGTGTCTGCCGTGCTCTGCTGGACAAGTTCTGGGAACAAATGACCCAAAGCCTTTTTCGCAGAGGCCACTCTGAAGCACGCCTCTTCAATGCTAAACGGCACTATCCGCGTGGGAAACGAAGTTCCCAAGCCAGAAACGATGCACAACATCTAGTACAAGAAGCATATGTTCAACTTTTCGGATTCATTTACGGGGTACTGCTGTTGAGATGTTGGCACTTTCCGGCACGTCTAAGATTGCAAATGCATTGGCAGAGGGGATCGAGGCTCTGTGTTGATGAGCTGATATAGTGACAGTGGCCCAACGCGTGCGGTATGCGTCGTCCCAGAGCAGATATCTTGAAGGATGTGGACCTGCTTCTCGGGTGTTTCACCCTCCTCAGCACAAAACCTGATCCCAATGAATTGTCACAGGCCGACAGGCTACGGAGCTCTCTAAAGCTCTCTGGGCTGGCATTCCCACAAGGATCTCTCGCGAAAATCGTGGCAAGAGGAGTCATGCCTAGTCTTAGCAGTGGCAGTACTTCTACGATGCATACGGCAGCCATCACCTCGCGAGTCATGCAGCCTGTGGGCCACGAGGCCGCGTAAGGAAGCTCGGGCAGGCTGAAAACGAGGGCGGCTGCGTCAAGCAGCCAACCCTTGAATGCTCCACCGTGTTTCAAGGCTCTGGGATCCCACCCCAATGTAGTCCGCCCATCGTGCTTTATTGAGAAAGGCGCTGAGCAGGTTCCGTTGGTGGGCTCTCCCATGTGCTAGGCATCAGAACGTCACGCTTCTGCATTGTCCATGCAAAAACTTTCGGCCGAAGCGACCAATTAAACAGTTTCACATTTCGCTTTCTGATCGATTCAGATCAGATCTAGATCCCAGCGGTGGCCGACTTGGAATGGTGCAGCCTCCTCCGGGCACCTACTTGCTAATTGGGTGCCCGTAGGAGGCCATCACGAGCGCCTCCCTCATCTCTTGGACGGAGTTGTAGCTAGGGAGGTAGAGCGTGGAGAAGCATGGGACCTGAGGCTCCAGGATCGGATCCCAGAAAAGCAGGACATATCCTTGTTTGCCAGGCTGCTGCAGTTGGCTCCGTGCTTCTTGTCGGTGCCACGGAGAACTGCAGGGCTGCCAAGCCACCTGGAAAACCCGGCGAGAAGTGAGCCCGACCCCACGTGACTTGGAGACCCCGCCTTCTGGAAGATGAAAGCTGCCAGAGGCAAACTCGAGCACGCCGTTCTGCTGCTCTGGCGTCATCGCCTGCAGGCGGAGCTGGCTTTACAAGTAGCTTGGTTTCCTAGTTCACCACACCCCTTGACTGTGTGGCATCCCAAGGAGCCATGCCTTAGAATGCACTTGGGGTTAAGGCGGTTGAGCCTTCTGAGTTCTCCGAAGGCCCGGCCTCAAGAGCTTCCCAAAACATTTGCCATGCTTCCGGTGAAAGCTCCTCCATCTTCGTGCTGGCCTCCTCGAAATTTGGTTCTGGTTCCGTCAACGAGGCTCTCCCAGAGTGCATGCGTAAGTCGCCCCTTGTCTTAGGCCTGTGTGAAGGAGAGAGTCCGCTTTGCAGGATACTTTGGGGGGGGGGGTCTGCCAATATGCAATATGCCGACCTCGCAACAAGTAGCGGGAAGGCGGCCTTTCTTACCATTGCGTGCTGCAGTGCACGTCGTGAGACGGCACGCTAAGCCACTAAGAATAACAGCAGATTCCACTCAACAGGAGCAGTCTGTCAAAGCCCATACCCAGTTCTTGACATGAAGCTGACTTATAAGACTTCGTGGGGGTTGTGCTCCTGCTGCAAGAATCACACTCAACTGCCGATCGCAAAAGGAAGTTCACCAGCGATTGGTAGAACAGCAGTGCGAACGGCAAAGCCGTCACATCGCATCTCCCAGACTCTCCGGGCTGCTTTCTTTAAGAAGGGAGCCCAAAGAATGCACACAAACGCCTCAATGCCTCAATAGTTCCTCGCGTCACAAGAGCACTTCCAGCTAGAAAAGCTCCTGTCTTCTCGCTTTGAGGCTTTGAACAAAGGGACTATTGGAGCGCCAGTCTTTCCAACGACTAAGTCCTGACGGCTCGCCATAAGCCTTAAACCATGCCTGCATGTTCGTGATGGACTTGGAACGTGCGCAGCCGGAAGCCTGAATCGGCTTCACTGCTGTTGTCTGCCACTCTTGGCAAAGCAGAGCGTCCTTCCGTTTCTGAAGCGCTGCGAGTGCTGTCTCCAAGTGCTGAACTTCCTCGAAGCATTGCCCCAGTTCCGAATGCTGGGTGTAGCTGCTTTGTGGTGCAAAGGTCAAGGTGGCGGAGGGCATGGGGCCAGCCTTGCGGCTACCTTCGTGCTTCTTCACCCGGCTGACGTGGCTCCGCTGTTCCATGTTGAACTTCTGCTGCATCTTGGACATGGACTCCACTTTAGTCAGTAACTTCATCCTGCAGGCGCCCTCTTGTGCCACAAGTTCGGGAAGGCTGGTACTTCTGGCGATCTCCTTAATCCGATCTCTTCTTTCTGTCGACATGAACCTCCGGATGTGCAGGGGCCCATGGGCCAGGGGCAGGGATCCACCTGAGCAAAGATGGCGAAGGCATGGGCAAGTGCTGGATCACTGCTGGTTTCGCCGCCGTCCCGTGCGGTGGCGCGCTTGCTGCCTGCACGTTCCCGACGAAGCTCTGCGATGTGCAGCTAAGTTCGAGCTTTTGTTTCAAGGAGAAGGTTAAGGCATGCGAACTACGACAAGCACCAAAAGGCTTCTCAGTGCGCAAAAGGTCCTTCCATTCCTGCAAGTTGAGCTTGGTCGCTCCACAAAGGATCATCCCAAGCTCAGCAGCTGAGACGGTACCTGGCCCATGGGGCTCTTTCTCAGAGAGTAGCAGACACGATATTAGAAGGCCCGAAGCTGTCAGGCAGGCTATCGTACTCTGGAAATACAGAGTGTAGTAGCATGCATGCAATGCTGCGGCTTGAGACAAGCGGCGCTGCAGTTGACTCTGCACTTCTGGAGAGATCAGTTGATGAACACCGCGAAGCAAAGCATCCACCTGCTTACCACGAAGACAGCAATGTGAAGGGAGACTGCCGCTTTTCGACTTGCAAACTCGCTCAAGGCAGGCACGGAAGCTGATGATGCATGAAGATCAGGTTAGACGGACTACGTACAACCCTTCAGGTTAAGCCTGCCTGAGGCCGGACGCAACCCAACAGCCGATGATGGCACAGCTTCTCCTTAGCTTCGTTGGTTTGCACATAATGCAGGGTGCTTCTCTAGGATTGTCCAGTCCAACGTCAGACTGAGACATCATTGACAGTGACACCATCCCAGCAGCTGGGGTGAACTCACGCAGTCCGAGCTGCTATGTACTGGCTCTTGTTCTCCTCTGACACCACCCTCTCAGCGCCCCCCCAGCAGAGCTCAGTCTTCACGCCACCGATCTCCTCAGGAGGCGTTCTGATGCCTACACTCCTGAGTTCGATCTCGCTACATCTACAAATGCTGCCACACACGTGGGGCAGAAACAAGACTCAAATGAAGCACCTGGCCGCTAGACTCCTTGAGCAGCGCTCGCGCTTTCCTTTAATGCCCCTTCCCAAACGCTACGAGGCTCGAGGGTGCCATGCTGACAGAACTCTTCAGGCAACACAAAACTCACCCCTTAAAGACCTTGCAAAAGCTTCCCGGGCAACTTGTAGAAGTTCTTCTGTTGACCGGTGCCAAACCACTACGGGTACTACTTGTAGAGAACACTTACCTTGAAGAGCCTGCGATCTGGATCAAGTGAGCAGCATCTTCGAAGGTCAGGCCCAAGTCAGAAAGCTGCTTTGGCGGCTCCTCCTTTCCAAAGGCAGTATCCGAGTGACTTCTACGGTTCGCTTGTGATCAGAAGCAGTCTCCGAACTGAACTGGCAAGCGCATATTGAATAGCGCGATTACGCAACAAGATGGGGTATATCTGCGATATCCTATTTGTCCATCTACCTGCCAGTCTAGCCGAGTCTATGCCTGTCAGCCTCCCGGCCGCGATTCTAATTTGTGCTGTTCGTTGTCAGGCTATGGCGCATCCTTGCACACAGTGCGACATAGATTTGCTCATTGCTTCTATCCATTCTCTCAAACTGCGGGGTCAAGACATGAGATCACGTCCTGCTCTCACACCTCCTTTACGCTAGCGCACCCAACGAAGGTGCGTCCTGAGTGTAATGACCCTCCAGGATGCGCAGGACCTGGGAGATATGATCCCTGTTTCGACCATTGCAGCTGGCACCGTTTAGGATGCACCAAATACTGGGGACCGAACGTGGCTCTGGTAGAAATTGGGATCTACGGCCGCCAAGTCCTCCAAGGGTAACTGGAATCATGCATCGAATGCGTGCAAGGAGGGACTCCACACAGACAGCGACCTGCCTCCATGCCCAGCTTCGCCTTAGTTTGCTGACATGCGCTGCGGCACTGAGCTTGATGAGCAAGTGTGTCACAAATGCAGTGGACCGTGAGGAACCTTCTCAAGTAATTACAGTAGCTCTCAGCAGAACGACTCTAGACTCATCTGGTCACTGCGTGTCTTCGGGACTTAACATCGTTTCATGAGCCCAAGGGGCGTTGCTCAGCAACAGCTTGCGCAGCGCCGGGCTGAGGCGCATCGACGGGACCGTTTCTTGGTGGAGCAGCGCGAGGCCGATCACTTTGCCACCTGTAGCAGACTTGCCGGGGCCGCGGGAAAAACTCAATGAAACCTCGAGGATGGGCTGAGGGAAAGAAGTCACGAATGCCACAAGCTTGAAGCAGAAGCCAGAAAGTTGGCACATCTTTATCCTCATGCCCTTAAACCACAGTATATAGAGAATCCTAGCACTAGTCATCTTAAACGAAGTATTCGGGTGGTTTAGGATTTATGGAACAAGTTCGGGGTTTGGGTTTGGTTTGGGTCTTACATTCTTCAGGGTATGAGCCAGCGCGAAGGTCAGGACGATACGAGCCTGACTGTGCTTTGCAGAGCTACGCGGATCGGCAGGCCAAGATCGAGCAACTTTCGATGTAAGGGACATTAAAAGCAGTGTTGCGAACATTGGTTTGTTGTACAGCGAGTCTGCTGGGCTGGACCACGTTGGATTCGCTTTAAGAACTTCCCCAAGCCGTCGGCGGCTTGACTGGGGAGCTTGAAGGCATGAGCTTCACCGTCTCTGACATTGACAGCAGTGGACAAGGACAGCGGCTATGCACCTTGCACGAACTGCGAAAACGACGTTGGTACACGTCACTCCTTTGCCGATATGCATCGTGAAGTTAAGTTGCACTGGTTTCCGGGCAGCAGACCGATAGCATTTCTGTTGAAGTTGCAACGTGTGCTTCACAGTGAAAAACGTCTGCGACTACGTGCCGGTTTTATCAAGCACCACTCAAATCATGCTTCGAAGACAATGTTTGTGCGTTCCTGCTTCCGCCGTATGCCGTATGTGATGGGAGCCGAGGCCATTCGGGCTTGCATGTCCAAGAATCCTCCGAAGGTTCACGATATGAGGGGGCTACACTTAAGCCCTGGGCCAGTGCTTTAGGCAAGGCGCAAAGCTCGAACTGTCGGAGTTGCTCCTCACTGTTGGCTTCCGGGTTGACGTGGAAGGACGAATTCCGTCCTGAGCAGCTGATTTCCGATAAGCAGGGTCTTGACAACCTCGAGCAAGACCCTGGCCCATGTCATGTCAGTGGGTATGTGTGTACTATACATGCATTCGTAAGCGGGCAATAGAGTACGTAATAGAGACCACAAACGTGCGTGAACCAATGAATGGCTGGCGCAGTACCTTTGTGCACCTTACATGATGGTGGTGATGCCGACAATGACAATGCATTTATATAGGCATGTACAGGCATGCATGTTAGTATATATACACCCACATACATAAAAAATACATGTTTTGGCACTCACGCTCGACGACGTCATACAAACATTTTTAGCAAACGCGCCCGACAACGTCAGGCGAGGATACATACATGCATACATGCATGCATGCATGCGTGCGTGCGTGCGTGCATGTGTGCATACATACATACATACATACATGTTGCCATACATGCATACATAATGTATGTATGTATGTATGCATGTATGTACATGCACACATACACATAGATGCGTTGTATACATGCATGTCCACATGGTATGATACGTACATGTGTAGGTGTGTGTACATATCTATATCTATATATATATATATATGTGTGTGTGTATATGCAAATAAACAAACAACGGAATACCTCATATATATATATACATATACATACACAGTTATATACATATATGCACGCCTACATGCAGAGCGAAGTTCGGGCACTAGCACCTGGAGCGGAGAGCCAAAGCTGCTTGCGACTCAAACCAAGCCGGCGCTGCCCAGAGTAGGACTAAAGCGAGTAACATAAGTCCTTGGCCATCACATGCCAAGTCGTTAGGTCACCCAGGCTGAGCTGCCTTAGCCAAGAGTCCGTCCTTGCTGACAAACAGCCCAAGCTTCATGAACTCATCTGCAGCTAGACCTCAGGTGTTGCAAGCCGGGAACCCTCGTTGTAGGTTTGGGCTGGGTGTCGGGCGTACAGAAGTGAAAACAAAGAAAAAACGTTAAGTTTCTCCGATACAAACTGAGGTGGCGACGGAAGAATTCTTGCCGATGGTTGCTGTCCTCTTCCCCCTCGTCGTCAGACTCATCGGTAAAACTCCTGATCTGGAGCATGCCACCAAGCTCGAAGCTGAAAGCAACTTCGCTTTTCGAATCTCAATTCAGTTCAAGGCCAAACAAAACTTGTGATAGGGATGCAGGTCTGTGTGAAGCTTCACAGGGACATGATAATCTTCTACACTCGATAGCAGATGCAGGGGCTCCTATATTGTGCTGTACAGGTCAACGTGTAGGAGAGTAGAAGATTTGCCCCCCTCCCCAAGGTCACAACGAGTTGCCATGGGTCTCGAGTGATCCGTTGCAGCCAAGATGCACATCGATACCCCAAGACAGAGAATTGGAGCACTGGGCCAATCCTGCGCAAAGGCTCGCCTTGGTGGGGGATAACCCCATGCTGCCGTCAGCTGTCTTCTGGAAAACATCTCGTGTGCGAGTGCCCAGCGCAGGCACATGAACACTGCAAATTTGACATTGAGTTTCATTCCAGATGGAAGCAGTCAGCCCGGGATGGTCTACAGTCTACGGCGGTATCGACAGCCAGGCAGGGCACAAGCAGCTGCTCACGCTGTACCTCCAACCGCACAGGAGCTGGGGCGTCCTCACTGCAAGGCCATGTCTGTGCTAACGCAAAACGCCAGCTTGTCGGTTCTACAGACGAGACTTTCGCCACACCACACTGCAAACATGTGTTGGATTGGGCCCGAAACGAGCCAGTGGACGAAAAAAAAACAGCACAGTACACATCTTGTAAGACCGTTACCTGATATCGCCATGTGAAACTCAGATTTTTCGGTGCCGCGACCACAGTCACAGCAAGTGCTGGGAAGCCTCTCAGTCATCGGGTTGAGTTAGCTACTCGTCCAATCCAGGGTTGGGGTGTTGTCGGCCATGAAGTTTAGCAGGTTTGTTCCTAAGGCGACGCAGTTGTTGAGAAATACGTGATAAGCGCAGTCTGCGGAGAGAACCACGTCTCATAGTGAAGGCCTATTTAAAGGGCTATCTAAGAGGATTCCTGCTTTTGCCGGTCCTCGCTGTTCTCCTGAAGCAGCTCCGACAGCCACTCGCTTTTGAAGTCCAGGGAGATCTCAGGTACAGCGCAGCCAAGCACCAAAAACGTCTCATTGTTGAAGAACAATGCGCCTCTGTCCTAGACTATTGGACCCGACTCCCGAACTCCATACCCAGGTACTAGTAAGCATAAGACACGTAAGCCCTTGCTCGCCGAAATTTCGGTCAGCACCAAGTCACCAGCTGAGTGTAGCGAGGCCACCACTGCAAGAGCTGGATCAAGCCTCACACTCGACTATACATACATATGCCCTCATGGCTGTACACAGGCACTGCTTGTAGATCCGTACCGTACATGAATGTCTACATCACATCTCTCTCTCTCTCTCTCTCTCTATCTACATATGCATATATATATATACATATATACATACGTACATACATACATACATACATACATACATACACATATCCCTCCGTCTGTCTGTTGCAGTTATGTAGTTACTTACAGACAGACAGACAGGAAGACAGACAGCCAGGAAGACAGACAGACAGACGGACAGGAAGACAGACAGACAGGCAGATATATACACATACAGTCATGAAGTCGTGAAACTCAAGCTCCACCGCATCTGGATGCTGACTTATGGTTGCAGGGTTCTCGCAGTCGCAGCTGGCAAACAAATATAGAACCAAGAAGCCGTAGAGGATGTCTCTGCCTTTCTCCAAACCTCGCAGCAAGGCTTAACTTGATTGAACGGTTGCAAGCTACAACACAATGCAAGTAATGCGCTGCTCATTCTGCTGGCAACTCCGACAGGTGAGAAGTCTGAGTGCTGTTGAGGTGCTGCAGAGACGAGGAATGAGGCGTTCTAGGCTGCTGCCTGCACCCAGCAGCGCCTGAACACCCGCACAGCTCTTCTACCGACTGCCACCGTTCGAAAAACTAGACCCGAATTCCCCCCAAATAGTTCGGAAACCCCCGGCCCCGGAGTCAATGCTCTCGACCAGCGTTTGCAAGAGCTCCAGGCAGGAGCTCAGCAGGGTGGAGGACTCCGCAGACAGGAGGAGGCCTGCGTCATCAGCCATTAGACAATCGCATGACATGTAATTACCTGTCTTCTTGGTGGACATTATTCTTGCCGAACACGTGTCGCTTAGCCTGACCGGATGTATTCTCTCTTTGCAGGGCAGTGGCTGATGGAATTGATGATCTGCTTCACGTTGCTGCCAGCCAGGACCTGGGCATCATGAAGTCAGACAGGGGGACGCTATCAACCTATCAAAAGCTGGAGGATCTGCGTGTTCATGAAGCTTTGGACATACAGGGCAGTTAAAGAAAGGGGTCGGTGAGGTTGCCCCGTGGCGCCTTTTCAGCAACTGCCTCGCTTGGCCCGTGGAGGGCCCGTTGGAACGTGCGCAGTAGGATCATATGTACATAAGTAAGGGCTTGCGGAAGCAAAGAACTTCCTCATCCTCGGTGTCCGCATCCTGGCATGCTTCGGCATCGGGACCATCAATCTTTGCACTGACAGGGTCAAGGAGAGACGCAGCTTGGCTTGGGGGCTCTGGCCAAAGAACGGCACCATCCGCCACAGCCACAACCTTGTCGAAATACTTGCTTGAGACCTTCCCGAGTTCATCGCCCGGCGTCAACACGACGCCGTTGGTGCTCCGGAAGAACTGGAGGCCAGCGGCCATAGCTCGGGTTAAGGAGATGTAGATGACGACTTCGCAGTCGCTTCGCATGCCACTGACCACAGTGTTGGTCGAAG